TGGGTCTGAGCGGCTGTGGGACTGGCGGGTGACAGAGGTTTGTCCAGACTGTGGCCGAGGCGGAAAAATCTAGCTACAGACTATGGAATGGTGTTTACTGTGTTTTCTATTTTTATCCATTTAAATTGTCTTTACTAAGGACTGTAATAAAATAATTCTTTGTTTTAGATGTGTTTTAAATATACTCATATATTTAAAATTCCTATTATGTGGTCTGTCTTTTTACTTTTTTTTTAATATGTGAGTGTGCATGTGTGTGTGTGGGTGCTCAGCATCATCCTTAGGAATGCCATTCATCTCTTTGAGGCAGGGTCTCTCACTGTGTGGAGCTTACCAATCAAGCCAGACTGCCTGGCTAGCAAGCCCCAGAAATCCACTCTCCTGAATCCAGCACTGGGATTACAAACACAGGCCACCTCATCTGGATTTTAATGTGGGTTTGGGGGATTGAACTCAGGTTCCTATGCTTGCAAAGCAAGCATTTTACCAATTGAGATATCCTCCCCCCGCCTCATCACTGTCTTAATGGTGTCATTTGAAGCATCAGGGTTTTCAGTGTTGATGTGATTCAGTCTAATCTATTTTTATGGACCAGGAGAATGTTTGATCATCATACATTCCAATTTGTGTGTGTAGATGTGTGGTGGATGTGTGTGTGTGTGTGTGTGTGTGTGGTGAGGGTTCCCATGAGTGCACGTGCAGAGGCCAGAAGAGAACGCCTTTTGTCCTGCTCTGTCCTTTGCGCCTTCTTCTCCTGAGATAAGATCTCTCCCTAAACATGGAATTTGCTGCTTTTTGGTCAGGCTGGCTGCCAGCAAACTCCAGAGCACTTCCTGTCTCTGCCCTGTCACCCCCACCACCACCCCACCCCCACCCCACCCCACCCCACCCCACCCCCCGCATGTGGCCACTCCTGGCTGGAGAACCTTCATGCTTGCGTGAGCACCTAACCCAAAGTCATCATTTTATGGATGAGGACTCTGAGGACCAGAGTCTGAATCAGTCGGGCAGAGCTGCCATGGTCTCTGGGTGTGGACCTGGCTTCTGGTTCTCCAGTGACCCATTTGCCCACCTTGAGGTTTGTTGCATAGCTCCTTCTGAATTGAAATGCTCTCTTTTGGTGGGAGGGGGGATTAAGAGGCTCACGCTCACAAAACCTAAAAGCCTTAGGAAACTCAGGAGATGATAGGATTCCCGCAGTCCCTCCCCAAGGTTATAAAAGCTAGGGTGAGGAGACTCAGGGGTCGGTTCCTGCTAGGGAGGCTGTCTTCATGGCTTGTCATCTAGCCAGGTTGTACTTTCTGGGATGCACTTGCCCCTGAGTAGTCTATGCTCCCAAAGTCACCCTAGTCAATTCGTTGGCTCACTAGCTGGACTTTGAGGGAATCATTTCTTTGATCTGTTGTTGATGCCTTGTCTTGGCTGAATCAACCTTGTTCACATCTTTCCAGAAAAAAGTCACACAACATTGCTTGGGTTTTAAAATTATGTTTTAGATATGTCCAGTAGAGGGCACAGCATCCAGTACTGATGTTCACTACTGGGTAGGCATGCCACAATGCCGATTGTTCTCTGATAAAAATGAGCTGTGAACTAGGATTGTCAGGACACCAGGAGTGGGGGTGGAGAAGAAAGCTCATCTAAGTCACTGTGGACTGTGTAACAGCTTCTGTGGATTTTGATATCACCACACAAGCAGAGACAGTCACCTGATAGCAAACCAGTGGTGGGAGCTCAGGCCATGGATGCAT